TCAGCCATTGAAACTTTGCGAATCTTTGGAATGATGTGTGGGCGAATGCTGCAGAAAGCCAGAGAGAAGGGGAGAAAGCCAAGCTACTTCAAGGCTGTCTTTTTTGCGTTCCTTCGAAATGTAATCATCAATTTCCTCCTCATGGTCCTCCTGAGCGGTCAGAGAATATCGGCAGCAGTGATGGTGAAAGTGCTGGTACTGTCTCTTATACACATCTAGATGTGTATAAGAGACAGCCCTCCCTCCCTTCTCTCTCTCTCTCTCTCTCTCTCTCTCTCTCTCTCTCTCTCTCTCTCTCTCTCTCTCTCTCTCTCTCTCTCTCTCTCTCGCTCTCTCTTAGTCTCGAACCTTTCTCATTGCGCGTCACTGCGGAAGTCTCGGGCCCTCGGTTCTTTTAACGGGGCTAGCTCATCTCGCGGTGTCTGGCCGCCTTGCAAGGTGCGCGCCTGTCCGCTCCTTCAGGTCCGTGGTCGGACCCCCGGTCGGATCCTTCGCTTTGCTCGTTTCGTCCTTGACCGCTTTGGAGCGCCCCGACTTGCTCCCCCTGCTTCTCCTCTCTCTTCCTGACACGCCATGTGCAGTCCTCATTGTCGTTGTTCTCGTCGATCGTATGCCCAGCTGGCTCGTCTATGATTACTTGGTGCGCCACAAATTTTCTCCCTCCGCTTCGGCTCTCGCTTCCTAACGCATCGTGTGTAGTCCTCACCGTCGTTGGCTCTCGTCGATCGTATGCCTATCTGGCTCGTCTTCGATTACTTGGTGCGCCACCGATTTGCTCCCTCCGCTTCGGCTCTTGCTTCCTCGCGCCCGTCATCAGTCCTCACCGTCGTTGGCTCTCGTCGATCATGTGCCTAGCGGGTTCATCTTCGACTACTTGGTGTGCCACCTACTTGCTCGCTCTGATTTGGCTCTTGCGTCTTGTGCAGTCCTTACTGTCGTTGCGCAGTTGCTCTCGTGCGCCCCAGCAGGGGAAGCGGCTTCTTACATGACCTTCCTCCTTCGATTGTCAGTGCGGCTCACTCTCCTGCAATCGAGGGGTACTACCGCCCCGACTGTCTCCGCGTACACTAGGTCTACCCACTCGGGCGTTGTCCCGACCACGGGAGAAGCCATCCGTCGTGCGCTCACGAAGTGATCACCCTCGTGCGCTTGTTCTCCCCCCTTTTTCATTTACTCGCCCTCCCTCCTTTTATACAGTTTTCCCCGCCGTTATTGCCCTCCCCGCCAATCCTTCCATCCTCCTCCTCGACCAATCGCTCTTTGCATCCAATTTGAGCACTTCGATTGAAATTTTCACCAAATCTTTCGCTTTTCCCGCCGTACTTTGATCGCAGGCATCGCTCCTCGATTCTGTTTTGGTGAAACTCTTCTCTCTCATCTTGCTTTACTGTGAGTTTTTGCGTTTTCCTGCAATCAGATTTTCTTCTTCGTAGTGCCCAGGTGCTCCCCTCTCGTAACCTCCTCCGGAAAGACAGTTACCAAGAAGTTCGGGCGCGCTTGCTTATAAGACGGTCACCGAGAGCGTACGGGCGCACTCTTGCCTTCCCAGATCGTGATCCCCAAGTCTCCCCCATCTCCTCTCTTTGTTGACCCTCCTCTCTCCCCCTTCTGTCAATCTGTCCCTCGGCTTCCTTTCCGTATCGGGTCTCGGCGATCACAGTTGCTTCCAGCCGATGCCTTCAAAATCTTACTCCCCCATTTCTTTTGCGATTCTGGCACCAATCGCCTTCCACTCCTTTCTGCAAATCTTGGAGCCTGGCCCCCTGAAACGGTTACCAAGAAAATGAGAGTGCGCGCTCTCCTCGCTGGCAGTTGTAACCCGCCTTTTCCCCCTGATGCCTTGGTTACCCGGCGCCTCCCTTTGGCAATCACCAGCCACTGTCTCACCTGCATCCCCCCCTTCGCCTGATCCTGCTTGTGTCTACTTCCACCAATCCCCTGCTTTTCTCGCCTACGCTTCGGATTTCCCTTCCTTCATTCAAGCTCGCTCCTGCAGTTGTGGCGCTCCATCATAGCCTTCCCTCTCCCTTGGTTTCCTGCAGCCCACTGGGTTGCCCCTAGCTAGCAGCATGCTTGATTCCCCCGACCCTTCCGACACACCGCGGGCCCCTGCGCCAACGTTCGAGGCGGCTATCGCCCTCGCCTCGGATCTCGAGGTGCTAAGCAGGCCTTAACTTCCCTTTCGTTTCTTTCGCAGGTCAAGAGGCGGGTGGTCCGCCTAAGTTTCCTTGCTGGCGTCATGCCCGATCCCTTACTCGGACGCAGTTAGAGTTACGACGGGTGACCAAGAGTGCTCATTACAATCATTTCGAACTGGATCGCGCTTGGTTGCCCGGCCTAATTGAGGGTCACACCGGCCATCCGCTTGTACGCCTTTTCCTCGGCTTGATTTGCTAAGTCCGAACCCATTTTGGCGTGCGTCAAGCCCATCACATTCCTCCAGCCAACCGATTCATCGGTCTCACCGCCGGACCGCGGTTGCCCTCGGTTGACTGGTCACTCGTGCCAAATTGTTCACTAAATGGGGGTTGCCCTTCATACAGCGTCCGCACCGAAGCCGATTCATTCACGTTTTTGGCTGGTCATAGGAACGGGTCCCTACGACCACGTCCCCCGCCCGCGTCTTCGATCGTTCGCATGTCGCGGCCCAACACCCAGGCTCAGTCACAGTCCCACGTATCTCTCAAGTAGTCCCGTAGTTGTCGGCATCCGACTTTCGGGTTTCTCTCAGCTCCCTTTTTTGTCAATGTTTCCCCCTTTTGTCCCAATGTTGGCTGCCCTTTCCTCGATCTTCACACCCCACATCGAAATCCTGGATTTTTTGTCTGCTCCCGACCCCACTTATGACCTTGCGTTGACTGCCTTCGCCCCTGCTTGTCCAAACGTTAGTCCGAATAAAAAGACCCCAAACATCCCTAAAACCCCTCAAGTCTCATGCATCCATGCACCCAAACATACAAAAGCAGAGGAAACATCCAAGAAAAAAATGTCACGATTGAAGAAGTGCACTCGGCTGGTAGCCAGCCGCCCGACACCGGGATCCAAGAAACCCAGTCAAAGCTATAGTGAGTAAGATGACTGTCTCTTCAGCAATTTATGAGCCGCCAGATCTAACATGACACAACAAGCTAGTTGCACCTTGCTCTCATTCTTACTACTTAGATAATAGAACAATCAACAGCAATTGCATTCAGGCCTTCTCATGCAATTCCACCCCATACCATTGAAGATCGACTAAAGCCAGATCCGAGGGTGGGAAAAAATCAGGAAATAGATCTTGGGATCTCAAGGAAACTCCTGGTTGAATATCAAACCAGTTGTAGAAGAAGATGTCATAGTTCCTCTTGAACGTTGCATCTGCTTCCCCGTCAGGCCATTTAATTTCCCCCAGATTCTCCCCTGATGAATCCCCCGGCCAGTTAATCTGGAATTTACGCAGAGGTTTTATAATGTTTTGTTTTTTAATCAGTGACTTGAGTATGATTTTGACTTTACACCATTGTGCTCTAATTTCTGTCTGGACAAAATTTTGGATTATGTCAAAAACTTCCTGACCATCAATTATTACCCCCTCCCAAGACAACACACACCTTCTGAACCACAAAGCCCAAAGTAATGCTTTCCTACCTCTATGGAATAAATTGGTTTGGAATTCTGACAAATTTTCCATCACTGGAGACCAGTGTCCCAAAAGGAGTGCATGCCAGTCCCATGGTCAGTCCAACCCGGTGATTTTATTCCAAATATGATCCCATCTTCTCCATAGCAGTTTGGTCACTGGGCATTGAAGAAATATGTGTTTTATAGTTTCTCTTATCTTTCTACTTGGAAACGTTGAAGTGCAATTGGGACATCATGGTAGAACTAAACCTTTTTGTTCAAGCGATGAATGATCAATTAGTCAATCATTAGTTGGTAAACACATATGGACTATCTATCATTGTAGTGAAGCAAATTTTGTCGGTTTGTCCTTGAGGCCCTTACACCATTTAACAGGCTTGAGTCGGTCGTGGTGAATGTTATGATGCCTAGCCCATATTTCCTTCAAAATGGCTATGACGTCTATTTTTGGACGAAGGATGCAATATGAGGTTTTAACTGTGAGGGAGTGCAATCTTTGTCCTATTAGTTTTCCATACCCATTAAAAAGAATTCAGTGGTAGCTCAACAATTGACAATTCAGGGAGGGAGGCTCTTCAGCTATCGTTGTTGAAAAATACAAAGCTATAATCCTATACATTGTAGAATCAGGGAAGAAAGCAACTTCATTTTGGTTCATTTGAGGGATTGAATGATTTTTACATACTCTGCATATGTTAACTATCGCCCCTCCTTAAAGAGTATCCATAATTTGACTTGTAACTTTATCTCCCCTGGGCTGAATAGCTCCAAACCAGTCTGCTTTTCTAAAGTTCATACCCTTTTTGAGAAGCAGAATCCATGCTATAGGGGTAGATGATATTATTTGGTCCAGATTGTTAGTCAAGTTCTTGGCATATTAAATCTCTTCTTTCAGTTCTTCCACCGATTTCCAACGTTTGTTCCTTGAATCCTATAAGTCCTTAATTCTAAGTATACCTACTTTAACCCAGGTTGACCATGGGGGTTGAGAACTAGTATAAACTCTACCATTTGAATCTGATATCCACCTATTGCCAAAAAATAGGTTGCATGAGGACCTCTTCATATCTAGAAAGTGAAGATTTGTTAGGGATGGGAAGTTTGCGTCATGTTTTCAGCAAGTCTGACCAGAAGTTATCAAGTACTAAGTTTTTTATGACTGATCCTTTTGCCCCCACCCTTCTTGAATTTGCACTTTGTCTTTGTATGGTCCCGTAACGACCCTCCACCCAAGTGAGAGGATGAATATGTTGAAGAGTGGGAGGGGCTAATCTCCGGATCTACTCTAGTGCCAAAGGCTGCCATGGAAGGTTTATTCCCAATATAAGTATTTTAATACATTGAAGTCTCAATGTTTGACATTAGAGAAGCGGATCCTATAATCCAATGCCTTCTTTAGTTTGCGGTTGGACTAGAGTATACCACGCAACTCTAGGGATGACATTTTCGGTGTCCTGGTCCCCTCGCCATAGGAAGCCCAAGAGCTATCTTTTAAGGTATTTTACTGGGTTTTTTTCAAGGGACCATAATAGAGATTTATACGACGTGAATGCAAGGACCACATTATTTAGGATGAGGGTTCTACCAAAAATAGATGTGTGTTGGTTTCGCCATTTCTTCATTTTTTCCAATGTTGATGTTGAAATTCGGACATTATTAGTATTAAGTTTTCCTTGTGCTGTAATTATGATACCCAAAACTCTGATTGGTGCTTCCTGGGGGAATCATTTGACTCTTGGAATTTCAGGTGGTCTGTCCCATTGGGAATGTATCCACCAACCAAGCGCTTTATTACCCCAGTTAACGACCGTGTCAGAGAGTAATAAAAATGTATCCATGAGTGCCTTAATTCCTTCCATATTCTGAGGGGATGCCTCCATCATAATCGTGAAGTCATCAGCAAACATGGAACAAATTGAAATTGCGTCTTCTGGGATTCCTGCCATTTGAAGTCTCTAGAGATGTCCTGAGATTTGTTCCAGAGCTTCCATGACGATTACAAATAAAAAAGGAGTCAGTGGGTCACCCTGCCTCACTGATCTTTGCAGACGAATCTCGGGTGAGATCAACCCGTTAACCTGCACTCTAGTAGTAGCATTAGAGTGCAGAATGTGTACCCACCGTCCAATGATTGGTCCAAAGTTTAACTTTTCCAAACAGGCATCTAGAAATCTCCAATCAATATGATCATATGCTTTTTCAAAATCAATAAATATAAATGCCGCATTATGTTGATTTTGTCTTCATAATTTTATCATTTCACTAATTAGTAATACATTATCCTGGATGTTTCTTCCTTTAATGTAGAGCATATAAATTATGTTACGGAAATGGCAACCATTGTGCTAATACGATCGTACAGTCTCCCCTCCCCCCCCCCCATTAAAAGAAAATATAAGGGGGGGAAGCAAAATCATCTAATCTTTCCGACACCCCTCCTTGAAGTCCATCCTAATCCAAAAGCCAAAGAAGAAAAACATCTAATTATTCCTAATACTTCCCCAAGTTCATCGATATTATATTGCAAAAAGGGCAATTATTATTATGCTGATATGACCGTATGCTTAACAACAACAGTGCGGCCCAAACACGTGGCAACATTACATAGTACGTTCTGAGTTGAAATGCGGTGATTACAAATGCATCAAGGAAGGAGATCTTCCGCTATGGCCATACTATGGCGATAAGATTGACGGGCCACCCACTGCCATCATACTCCGAAAAACTGATTGATTGATTGAGAGCTCTCCCACATTCACAGAAGTTTCGTCGTGCAAAATCATCTAATATTTCCGACACCCCTCCTTGAAGTCCATCCTAATCCAAAAGCCAAAGAAGAAAAACATCTAATTATTCCTAATACTTCCCCAAGTTCATCGATACTATATTGCAAAAAGGGCAATTATTATTATGCTGATATGACCGTATGCTTAACAACAACAGTGCGGTCCAAACACGTGGCAACATTACATAGTACGTTGTGAGTTGAAATGCGGTGATTACAAATGCATCAAGGAAGGAGATCTCCCGCTATGGCCATACTATGGAGATAAGATTGATGGGCCACCCACTGCCATCATACTCCGAAAAACTGATTGATTGATTGAGAGCTCTCCCACATTCACAAAAGTTTCGTCGTGGTACCACTATCAAACATATCATTGTATGATTGTAGTACGACGCCCGGAAAGTGTGGTGAACATGGGATGTCCTCCTGTGATCCTGGTTGAGAGGGCATGTGTGGAATCGGGCCGTTGATTGGACCCGAAAAGGGTGGCTTGTGAGGTATAGACAGTGAAACTGAGGTGGGTAGAGACTGTGGTGGGGGAAGTGAGTGGGTGTCAGGACGTGGGGTTCGAGTTGGAGTCGGGAGAAAGGAGGGGGTCCAGGGTGTCCTCAGGTGCTTGAAACTGCGGGGGTGCATGGGATACGTGAACCAGAGGTCGCCAACGGGTCGCCGCGACCGGACCCGACCGTACCCAACTGTAACCGGCAGTTTTGGATGGGTGCGAGTATGCCCCCAAAGGATATGCAGTGGTCCGGCTGGGTGTGAATATGTGTGAGAATATGCTGGGTCGAATTGGGCAGGGTGGGAAAGTTTCAGGGGGGCATGGCTGGGTGTTGTCTCGATTCCCTGGGCGGGTACGGCTGGATGGAGGTTTGGCCTGGGTGACCCGAAGCCTGTAGGCCATAAAGCTAGTATAGGTACTAGCCTTCCAGGTAGTAGGTCGTATTAGGGCCAGGCCGCAATGTAAATTTAGCCAGGGTCCTTTTCATCGGCAATGTGGCAAGTATTGGGGTTCTGTTAGTAAGAAATCCGCCCCTTCGTTCTTATTTTCCTACCGTTGTTTTTTTTCACCTGTTGTGGGAGTAGGCCCTTAAAAGATGGGCAAAAGACGATATGCAGAGTCGCAAACCAACGGGCCTCACTCCACTACTCACCAAATGTGTAAAATGGGAATGAATCTTGTGGTACATCATTGAAAGATTCACCGCCTTTTTTTTTTTGCTCTGGTGAGCAGTGGAGCGGGCTGGGCCATTTGGGGGGAAGCAATCAATGCCTCTAGCATGTGAGAGGAAGTCGATCCTTCTCTTTTTGGGGGAAGCAATCACTGCCTCTCTCGGGGTTATGCAGATTTTTGAGTCACAAAATTGGAATGTTGTAACTTGTAATGCAAGCCTTGGGCACTTGGCCTTTTTGAAGGGGAAAAAAGAGTTCGCTGACCCACCTTTGCAACCCGTTCAAATCTTTGATATGCTTGTCATTTTCTCAATGTAACTTCAAGCGTTTGAATGTCTTATCGAATTATTGCAAACAAATTGTGGCAAGTGTGGTGGTTTGAAGATGGAAAGTGAATTTCGAACATGCATAGACCCAGGTTTGAAATCAGGGAAGATGAAAAGTGCATGGTGGGTATAAACTTTGGGCATGGGTACGGCCGGGCATGGGTACGGCCGGGCATGGGTGGATGAAAATTGGTCGTGGGTGCAGGCGGAGGCGGGCGGAGAAAATTTAGGTCTGGGTGTGGCTGGGTAGGGGTAAGGATTCTACTGCAGCTGCTTAATTAGCTCAGATGGGGTGGGTCTGGGTTAAAAAAAAAAAAAATTGACGTGGGTGGCACTGGGTGCGGGTACACATGATATATCAAGGCTTGGATTGGGTCGGATATGGGTGGGAGGAAAATTTCATTTGGCGACCTCTGGCGTGAACCCAGCAGGGGGGTGGCTCGTGAGGTATGGACGGTGGAACCAAGGTGGGTGGGAATTCAGGTGGGGAAAAAGGGGGGTGGTCAGGAGGTGGGGTTCAAGTTGCAATTGGGGGAAAGGCGGAAGGGTTAGAGGTGGTGGAGAAGGGGTAGGGGGGAACGTAGCAGGTTTTCAGGCAGAGGGGGTGGGCGGGAGAGAGGGGGGGGGCTGATGGAGATGGCTTTGGGGTTCTCCTCGGGGGACTCTGAGAAGTCTCTGGGGGAGGGGAGGGTCTTGGTCTTTCACGGCCTGGGGGAGGTATAGCGCCTGGTGCCGGGTTCGGGTCGCGTTGGGAAGGTGGAGTGGGAGCCGGATACTCTGGGGATAACTTTGGACCTGTGGGAGGTCGCGGGGTACTTGGATTTGGGACCACAGGTCCCACAGGTGGTTGAACCTCTGGAACGGCCCCAGAGCGTCCAGGCACCTCCTTTGGTGGCATACTGGGCGAGAGCTCCGATGGGATATTGGGAGGCTGAACCACTTGCCAAATCTCAAACGGACCAAGAACAGAAGCCGCAGCAGCAACAGCGACAGGAGCAGCAGTCCAAGAGACTACAGACAGAGAAGCTGCACAAGGATGATCGCCGGGACACCAACAGTGACAACGACAATGACAACAATGACGACGAGATGAAGACCAGCGATCTGGTTCTGCCTTCAATGCACCAGGCGCAGGGAATCCGATCCATGGCTGCAACGAGGACAGACCCATTGGACAGGATCCACTCCAGCCACCCTCGTCCTGCTGGTTGTCCAACTCCAGCAATTGGAACTGGTCCCACCGAAAGCTCCCCATAACACATCCACCTCCTTCATGCAAGCACAAGCGGCAAGAAATCAGCCGCAGCAGACTTTTCCCTTGCCGAGAAGTTGAAAGTCCTTGCAATATGGTTGTTGTACCCAGAGCACCACCTGTTGCACTCCGTTCCCTTTGCACTCCTCCTCTGCCGGACGCCTTATAATCCGAGACTGGACCCTCAAAACAGGAAAGCAAACCTGGATTTGCATTGGGGGGTTGATTGGGGTGGTACGCACGGAGGTTCAACACCTTTGACTGTAAGACCTGCCGACCGATATCCGCACCGCCACTGACCCTGTTGTTTCCGCAATTTCCGGCAAGCTGTAGCA